TTAGGGACGGGTGCTGGTCTTTTAATCTAGCACGCTGATAGCCAGATAGCGACTGTTCAGAAGCGTCTATTCATACATTTGTTAATTGTGGGGTGGTAGGAAATGTAAACTAAATGATGAAACATTCTGGGGGACAATACCCCAGGCATTATTCACATTAGTCATAATAACTGTATGTGCGCATTAATTTGTTAAAAAGAACTAATCATGACTTTACCAGGTGTTACATGTTTTATCCACATTTATTACAAAAGGGGGCAAGGGTGGCCCAGTCGTCGAAGGCGCCGCGATTCGCTGTGAAGAGTTGCGTCCCTTGCGCACGCCACAAACCTATGATTGTGGGTTCGAATCCCGATTCGCCCCGATTATAATTCTAGGTTTGTCAGCACCATACCCGTGCTCGTGGGTTTCACCGAAGTGGTAAATGTCTGAGACCTGCATCACTTTGGGCTTTCCTCCCATATTAAGCTGACACGCCGTGATATAATTGGAATACTGTTTAAGTGGCGTTAAATCCAACCCACTCACTCATTTATTACAATATCGTTGATTGTGCCTGATAAAGTAACTAACACCAGTTACGTCACATTGAAATGAGAAAGAAGTTGTAACCGTGTCAATTCTCCCTTCATTGTTACAGACCACATTTGTTGGGGGTACTGTTGTTCGACGCCAAATGAGAAACAATCACATTGCAAAGGTGTATGAGTGGTTGTGCTACCGGTAGGGCAGGACTTGCTGACCCTTTTCGCGATCACATGGTTTCATTGATCCATACATATAATCTTCACCACTATCTTGCCTTTTACGCCTAGTGGAATTTGTGTCTGTGGATAATGGAGCCTAGTTTTGCTCTGGCGGTGATGTTTTATCTTATGAATTGGAGAATTGATCAGGTATTACGGGTTATGCATGCTTAATAAATCAGTCCCGTCTACTCAAGGCTGAGAAAAGTTTTTCCAAAGTAATAGCAAATCTTTTCCAAATGATTCGGGGAGCAGAGTTGAAAAGAAGAACACACGGATTTCTGTTTTTATCTTAAGATTGTGAGAATAATCCTGTTTACAAATAGGTGAACAATAACACCGACACAACGCAACTTGAGTAATTAAGCAACGCCTTCACTGAAACAAACTAACGGCCTATATTTCTTACTTTTGGTATTTTTATCACTTTATTGAATTACTTAAAATTACTATTTTTCTATAATTTAAACTGTTATTAATTTCAAATTAAAATTTATACAGAATAATACAATTCAGTATGTTTGTTAACAAGTTTACGATTACTCAAATAATTGGTAACATATTTCACTTTGTAAATGTATGGTTCTACGTCGTCTTTAGCAACATTCCAGAAATATTACGTCGAGGACGCCAGAAATGGGCTTCCTACATTGTACCCATGTGGGGAATCGAGCCCTGGTCTTCGGCGCGACGGGCGAACGCTTTGACCACAAGGCTACCCCTTCGCCCAGTTTGTAGGATTGGTCAAGGTGTATTGATGCAAACAATGGACAACATTCTGGACAAACATGTTGATGCCTTATCCCACTATATAACATTTACACACAGACATTGTGTGACTACAGGAATAATTTCCCTTGACTCGTTTACGTCAGTGTAAATGTATGTCCAGGGTAGGAGAAATCCCGTGTCACGTGTTTAAAAAACTAGTTTTTTGAAGATTTCGAAATTAAGTCATAAACAGTAAATATTTTTTCAGTAATAGTCATTCTATCTACTCATGATAGATATGAAATTTAATCTACTTTTTATCGGATTTTCCCTTTTTCATTATCAAAACAGACATTTTGTCAATCTATCAAATGAAACATGAGATGGCATGAATGTTTTTTGTTCCCATCGTTTCATCCATTTTGTAATGCTGCATCCCCAAGCGTCAATCCATAAATGCGCACTGTGTGCTCTTCCATGTGCAGACACGTTTCTTTCCCAAGCATCTAATATTTTACACGTTCCACATGTATGATTCGTGGCACCGTCGTTAACAATTAATCATTAAGATAATTGAAAATTACATTATTCTTCCCGTGCATGGAAAATCCCTCAGTGTATGTCAACAATAGATATAACTAGCTCCATCAAAGCTGTTCAAACGATTGAACATAATTATTTATACAAGAACACTTACACCCCCATACGTAAACCCTAGTTTAAATAGATATATTGACCTCTGCTGTCAATGACTGATAATTGAAGGATATCCAAATGGAAATCGACAAATACATTTTCATAATCCTAAGATATTTCTACTGAAAGATGGGTCCAATGTAAGATTCCGACTATATTATAGCATGTGTTTATGAATCACTGTCAAATAGTGATCGCGTGTTCCCAACAGTTCAGCTATTGTGGACAGGCTAGTCGTGACGTCAAGTGAAAGACGTGTCCTTCACCTTGGCCCGACTCCGTTTTGTTTCCACGAACTAAATGATGAACACTATAACTGAAACATAACAGTTAGCATCTGCGTGGCAATCTAACTTGCAAGGCATTAATCTTTACCGAATGTTTGGGGTCTTCAGGCCATCATCACAAGCAACACAGAGGTACGAACACAAGACGTTTACTTGGCGAAGACAACATCAAGACCGATTACCATCGAAATCGGATCACGCGTCACCACTTTTAGGAACCGTTGCGTTTCGGCGAACACCGGGAACAACCTCACATCCCTCCCCTCTCAAGAAAGGTCTGGCACGACTTGATCAACACTTACGACGACTGTTCCTCTCGATGAACGGCCTGATGACCTGACTTGCAGGAACTCACCATAACACTTGGATACCACAAATCCAGAATTGAAATGTTGTTTCTTGAACTTTAAACATTAAACATCCATGAAACTCTTTCAGATGACCGTTCTTGACGATGTAATTTAGCTGACGTATGAGATTCGACACACTTATTCCATAACTCTATACAGCCATCCATATCCTCCCCCACAGAAGAAAAATCGTCTGACACTAACTGGTGAATCAAACTGTTACGACCAACCATAACAAAATACGGAGCAAAAACAGTGGTGCGATTTAACAACGAATTATGTGCTAATAAAATTTCTGGCAAAAATGCGTCCCATGTTTTCTCACACAAGTTTCGATTGGGTTAGCTTGTGGTCTAGCAACTGGAGTATAACTACATCTAACTGCCCAATTTTAAGTAAACATACTAAACTCTTATGATGTAGGGACAGTACCATTGTCAATATGTAAAAAACTGGGCGGACCAAATAAGGAAAACAGACGTTCCATTTTAACAGCAATCGATTGTTGCTTGTGACGTTCACACAACAACGTGTTATCCTTATCGACCTTGTGGCAGCAGTACTGTACACCCACGTGCAACCACAAAGTATGGAAGTAATTTAATAGGAACCTTTTTGTTTACTGTATCAACAGTTCGCTTTGTTTCTGAATTCCCATTTAAATCATAGAATCATGATCAGTTGCGAAAAGCAACCCCATTGTGTACTGTTTGGGCAATAATAAATATTATATACGAAACGTACTTAATCACCAAACGAGGGGTATGGACCAATGAGAGTTTGTTATTTTACAAACACGTAGTTAAGTTATTTCATGCCGATGAAAAATGCTATTTTTCACTCACATTCTATAGTTAGGATGTTTTGCCAGTGTGGATACAGAACACCTTAATTACATTCCTATTACATTCAGCACATCAGCAAGCTATAGGGGCACATTCCCATCACTTTCTTATAATTGCATTGTAGAAATAGTTTTCTAGGACCATCAATGTACTGGTATAATTCTGGGTGCCAGGGATTTTTGTGTTTGAAGCTTCATATATGTCTTCAAGACATACAATGTGTTTTTGTAAGCATTTGTGGGAAGAGGTGAGGAGAAATGGGGTTTAACGTCGCGTCCAAGATTATTGCGCTTATATAGCGACGTGCATGTACGTGTGTGTGTTTGTGTGGCTGCTTGTACTAGTCCGGACTGATGCCGATTTATAGTGCTAGCTCACTGAGATACCATGCCGCAGTTTGACATGAATACCCCACTCAGACACAGTATACTGACTCCGAGCCGACCAGTCCTTGTTTTAGCCCCTTAATGCCGAGCGCCAGACAGGGTAACAACAAGTACCATCTTTTTACGTCTTTTGGTATGACGCGGCCGGGAATCGAACCCCGGACCTTCCGCTCTCCGGGCGGACGCTCTACCACTAGACCACGGAGGGGGTCATTTGCGGGAAGAGATTATTTTGAGGGCTCTTCAAAGGAATATCAAATGGTCAGCGCCTTGCAATAAAACTACACGGGCACCCGTCTTCGTATTCGCTGCAGGGGCGCCAATATGTGTTCATATATCAAAAAATAATAAATGCAACCCCTTTCAATAATCATCAGGAACCTCTTCTAAAAGCAGTGTTCATTGTACGATTCCGACTCTTGCACAACCATGTGTTTATGAATCATAGCGATGATACCTTGTGCTCGCGAAAAGGTAAGAACATCCTGCTCTACCGTTGGCCCCATCGGTTTCACACGTCACAAACACATGCACTGACATTTCAGTTGTCCACCTGTTCACCTGAACAATAGGGAATTGCATCAGATGTACTTTTTGTTGACTCAACACAACGCAGTAAAATATACCATCTAGTGTTGCAAGTGTATGAGGATCACATCTTCACTTTGAACTGACAACAAAACCCACGAGGACGGGTATGGTGCTGACAAACCTTGAAACATAATTGGGGCGAACCGGGATTCGAACCCACAATCATAGGTTTCTGCTGTGCCCAAGGGACGCAACTCTGCACGGCGAATCGCGGCGCCTTAGATGACTAGGCCACCTGTGCCCTCGAATTTAAGAGAATATAATCGGCCTGTAGCTGCCATATAATCGCTAATAAAGGTATGAATACATGACAAACGAAGTCCCTCTTGACGGTTTGGAGTTCAACATATTTATTTCCATTTTCACAGATAATAACTTGAACGTGCCATTCACAACACCAGATCATGAAAGGGGCTTGTCCGGACAGGAATATTCATATCTGTTAAAGTTGAAGCATTCAGTATTGGAAGGTAACCAATGTATTGATAGACATGTTTACAGTTTGAATCAACAATTTGAACAAAGTCATGTGTTGTCTGCATTCTCCATATTTCAGCAGCTTTGGTCGAATTGCTTTTCGATATACAGAGAGCACAATCGACATCGTTGCCGCCGTTTGTGATATTATAGATATGTTTTGTGACATTTTGTGTTAAAGACAAACCTACAAAATCGTACAATGTCTCTGTCAAGGGTATAGGTTTGTGAGCTATTTCCTCGTACCTGACAAAGATCACTTGTTTCGGGTGTATTTTCTTTAACTTGGCATATCCTTGAATATCTGACAACATAGTTCTACAAAACATCTCAGAATAAGAGTTTAACCTATTGGGTACAAATTCCCCATAACGCATCTGGGACGACAGAATGGCACGAGGATCTCGGACGAGGTAAATCAACTTCAGGTGTGGATCCTTGGCAATGAAGTGTTCGGCTTCATGGATTGTAAGGTTAATAGTTTTGATAAAGTTTACCTTTGCCTTAGAACAGGCATTCGTCAGTATCGATATACATTTTTCAATGCCTGCTACTCCGCGTTGATCCATGGTACAAAGTTTGTAGGCTTTTGTGGTTTTACTGTGGTGCCAATGTTCCTGGATTAAGGTTAAAATGTCCAGATTTTTAAATTGACATTGCAGGATTTTAGTCAAGGTATCTATCTTGACATCTGTGATAAACTTCTCCATGTCATCAAAATAGATCCTGCAAGAAAATTTTAAAAAAGGTTGTCAACAAAAATCCGGAAGTCATATTACAGTACTTCGAAAATAATGCAAATATAATTATGATAATAGTTCGTGGATAAATGCATCAAAGTTAACAAGATATGTTTGAGACTGATTTGTGGTTGTGTAACATTATACATTATGGTTCATGTTTGCCGATCATTTTGAAAAATGGAAATGCAGGATATCGTTCATGTGACAGACTGTCCAAACATCCATTGTTTTTGTTTTACTCACACCGGCGTATGTCTAATTACATAAATATCTTAGCATTAGATGGAAGATGTCCACTAGGACGTGAAGAAGATAGTTGCTCTGTTATAAAACGCATTCGATGTCATCTGAATATCGAATGCACCTGGTATAGCTGAAACATATGCATTACACACGGAAACATGCACAGAAAAATTCGTGTTTAGACTGGGTGAGTTTTATTCCAGTAAACTGTCAGCTTGATAAGGGAGGAAAGCCCGCAGTTATTCCTCAGACGTTTACCTCTTTAGTGAAACCCACATGTGTTTAGAAAATCGTGTAAACGAATCATTATTGGACGTCTTACCTTTTATAATTATGCAGATAAGGAATGACCTTTGGCTGGTAATACCATGTTGTATGAAGAGGTTCGAACATAAAAAACACATCCGGGTGAGTCTGGAAGAGTTCAGAGGTGAAGGTCGATCCACTGCGCATGTATGTCAAGAGAATCACACGAGTGTCAGTGTGTATTGGTGCATCTGTTTCCTGTAGTGCAGCATTCGCATTGGCACCTGTCGTAGAGAAATTATAATGGTGTATCCTTTTCAATGTGGTAAAGAATGAAGATGGAGCTGAATTATGGATGTCAAATTCTTTCTACATGTACATGTGCGGTATGTGGCGTAATATAATAATAAATCCTGTTCCATGAAATAATTCGTAGATATTGAAATCCAAAAGTCAGCACTGTCTTCTTTGACACTATAGTTTCCAAACTGACGCGCAAAGAACATGTGATAAATACTTCTTACCAATCTCATTATGTCAACCTTTTGTGTTATTTGTTGTGACGATATTCGGTGTGGGGCTACAAAACCCGTTCTGTAATCATGAGAAAATTTTGTTCGGAGCAGAGTCCAGTATACGATTTCGACTATACCATAATCATGTGTGTTTATCATGTAGAATACCAGGTGTTTGCGAAAGGATGAGCGTATCCTACCTCACGATGACAATCGTATACTATTTGTCATGATCAGTTTGTGGAGTAAATATATGCTTACCGCACATAATACAGTATAAGGAAACACTGTTGCTGTCAGACCGCCTGGTAGAGCGTCCGCCCGGGGTTCGATCCCCGGCCGCGTCATACCAAAAGACGTTAAAAGATGGTACTTGTTGTTACCCTGTCTGGTGCTCGGCATTTAGGGGCCAAAACAAGGACTGGTCGGCTCGGAGTCAGTATATTGTGTCTGAGTGTAGTATTCATGTTAAACTGTTTGAACTGCTTAGCATTCATGAAACGATCACTTAAAACGATTCTTGAAATATAATCAACAAGAAAACAGCGCTTTCACTATCCCCCGCAACGGGGCACATAAGAATGCATTTGCTCATCTAGTAGTGAATAATACGGAAGTTAATGTTATCTATAAAAAGAATCACGTAAAGTCGTAAGAAGAGATAGGCACAAGTGGCCGCTCAATGTCATCATAAATACGATTATAAGTGACATTAATACACACAAAAGGACCCTTCTCAGGACAAAAAAATGTATCGGGCGAATTTTCGAACTCACTCTCGATGAGTATCCCACGTGTAAACATGCAAATTTTCATTTTTGTAACTTCGGTAGCTTCTGAGAAAACTTGTGCCCATTTCACACAATATGCAAGTTGGAGCAAGAGCCTTAACTCTGTCCAAAATTAATTTAAGACACCAATTTACGAAGATATCGTGACAAGTAACATCAATGTGTAAAATTTCTTTTCTTTAACTTAAAAAGTTTTTGAGAAAATTTGTCCCTATTAAGGAAGAGGGGATGGACGGACAGACGGACGGACGGACGGACTGTTCCTATACCCCCCGCCTCACTTCGTGGCGGGGATACAAACATAACATCCATTCACGAACAGTCGTTAGACAACTATCTGTGTAGGGGTTATTTTGTTTTGAGTTGAAACTACAGGCAAATTCACCTACATGTATGTCTGGCAATGAAAGTACGTGATTTATGTGGCAACAACATTTCCGAAGGATTCATCCTCCCCAACAAAACATTATGACAGTCATGAAGCACGTGAACTCGGACAACACGTGCTAGGAGTGATATGTCAGATTTACGCATATTATTTTCTTGGAACCACACGCCCCAAGCGACTTTATGAAGCACATTTAATCATTAAGGAAGCAACATGAATGATCATGCAACGTGCTGATGTTTTACATGCCAGAGGCATGCTGTAGGTGGGCACACGTCAAAATATCGTTGCCCAAACGCTACATGTTTCTCAATCTGTCATTAGTAGATTCTGGGTCTAAAACCAACAAAGACACAACATCGATGATCGACGCCGCTCTGGATGCCCAAGCTTAAGGGCAACGACTCCAGCACAGCCTTGGACGCATCAATGAAGAAATACGTTCAGTGGGCGTGCTTTTCAGAAACAAAGTGATGGCCTACAACCCGTGGGGTCTCGTAACAATAACACGGTTGTTCTACTTTGGGAGAATGACTAGACTGAAACCTTATGGAGTCGTTCAGGCATTGTTGATAAGCGAAACACAAACAAAGACGGGCAGGTCGAGTTATGATTGTCAATGTCAATCATGCAGGACGATGCCCGGTGATCTTTTGGTTTTGTTTGATCTCACAATTGATCTATTTGTCAAATTCAACTGAACCGTGTCCACGGATTGTTCTTCCCTTTTCTCCTCCAGGGACACGGCTGACTTCTCAACGGGTGTGAGGAGAATAAACTACAAGGCGATGTTGCAATACATTTTTATACATCCTGAAGCCAATGAGGGACGCACCGACAGAGCAAACCATCATGATCATCCTAATCAGTAGCTGTAATTAAAATGCAGAAGTATTGCACTGGTGATGTATTCGATACGGGTATCATAGTTGTGATGTGGACCTCACATTTGCAATGTTTATTTTCGGCGACTGCAGAATTTTGTTTCCAAAGTTTAGACCAAACCATGTGGATACTTTCTTTTGCCCGGTAGCTTATATCTGCTGAATTGTGAGTGAGTGAGTTGGGTTTAACGCCGCTTTTAACAGTATTACTGTTATATGACGGCGTGTCAGCTTAATGTGGGAGGAAAGCCCGAAGTGATGCAGGTCTCAGACGTTTACCACTTCGGTGAAACCCACGAGCACGGGTATGGTACTGACAAACCTAGAAACATAATCGGGGCGAACCGGGATTCGAACCCACAACCATAGGTTTCTGGCGTGCCCAAAGGACGCAACTCTGAACAGCGAATCGCGGCGCCTTAGACGACTGTGCCACCCGTGCCCCCTCTGCTGAATAAAAAGGCATTTGAAAATAGTGTTACAGCTACATATTCATATGACTTACCTTGTATGGAATTTCCCTGTCCAGTGCGAGCGTTTATATCGAAGGTCAAGCATCCTGATCAGATAAAACAAACTGAATGTTATATCTTCTTTGATATGCATTTAGAAGTTGGAGTGCTGAGTAAGGATAGTATTGATGGATGAAGAACTTCTTTTATACAATTAAGAGCGAAGTTTCGATGTAGGTTCTAATACCGTTATCAACTAATTGCTAAACTGTTACCGTATAAACACTGCCTCCTACCTGTATATATACTTGTCAATCATACTCTATATCAGGGTGCACGGGTGGCCCAGCCGTCGAAGGCGCCGCGATTCACTGTGCAGAGTTGCGTCCCTTGGCAACGCCAGAAACCTATGATTGTGGGTTCGAATCCCTGTTCGCCCCGATTATGTTTCTAGGTTGGTCAGCACCATACCCTCCTCGTGGGTTTCACCGACGTGATAAACGTCTGAGACCTGCATCACTTCGGTCTTTCCTCCCACATTAAGCTGACACGCCGTGATATAACTGTAATACTGTTAAAAGCGGCGTTAAACCCAACTCGCTCACTGTATATCACTTGCTTGATAACGGTGTAAGAACCTACACCGAAACGTCGCTCTTAACTGTAATAAACAAAGTTGTTCATCCATAAATACTATCCTTACTGAAAGTCTATAGATTAGTCAGGTCGTAATTAGATCCTCTATAGTTCTATAGTTATGTTCGTTACATATGATATGTCCTTCGCAAATATTCAAATGTTATTAAATAAAAGCGACACAATTAATTCCATAATCTTAAGATATTTCTTCACACTTTAGGTTTGATAAGAAGCAGTACGTATTGCCATAAACCTTTGCAGATCAGATTATCATACATAACAATGTACATGTAGATGACATTTTGCAAGAAACTATTACATGTGTATATATTTTTTTTTTTTTATTTATTTATTTATTTTTTTTTTTTTTTTGGGGGGGGGGGGGGGGGGGGGGGGGGGGGGCAGGCTCGCTGACCTGCTTGATTCACGTTATCGTATCCCAGTTGCGTGGATCGATGCTCATGACATTAATTATTTACAGACCGCCGTCATATAGCTGGAATATTGCTGAGTGCATCAAACAAACAAACGAACAATAAGCTAAAACACACTGTAGCGAATCCAATTATTCCCCTTACATAACAGGAGTCTTTACTTGCGTGACCTTTTAATTAGGAGACAATTAAGGTGTCTTGGGACCTAATCACAAATTCCCATTCTATGTAGTCAAGGGTGGAGGTCACGCTTGCCATACACGTCCATACGTCAGAAACATGGCAGTAGTCTTATGGTAGTTTTCCCATTATCGACTCATTATGAACTGGTTGACATATGTGAGAACTTACATGTACAAAAACGAATATACAGTTTGTCAAACAATAATTGAAATCTCCCAAGGATAAGTTCTGTCTATGTCAATATTCCTTTCAAGGATGAATCGCACATATGTTTAGATACTTTTACACACCTATCCATCCACATCTCGGATATATCTACCAAGTACGAACTCACCAACGCACAATTGAACTCGTTTGGTGGTGCTTCAACATTATATCTATGAATATTTTGTATTGCTTACCATGTATTGTATCAACCAGTTTAGAAACCTTTAAATCATGTACACAAATAATTTCTTTAATCACCGTTCGTTACTCAGTGAATACAGTGCAATTTTAAGTTAAAAGTTGTTTCAATGACCTGATACACTCCGCTGGCGAATCTATTCACATGCGTCCATTACTAGTCAGAAACATGATTGTTTTTCGGAACTATATACATATGTTACTTCACCGCCAGAAAATAATGAATATCGATTACTAGTATCTGCCGAAAAAGATACTAGTGGGATTGAAAGGCAAAATAGCACTGAAAACAATATGAATGGATAAAGTGGTGACACCAGGTGTTCACAAAAATGGAAAAGTGTGTTAAAGACATTGCCAGTTTGAACACATAATATAAATAGAATTTCCTTTTAAAAAAAGCTGATTTCAACGATTTCACACAAAGCGCAACAAAAACGCGATTGTACTTACTTGTTTGAGAAATTGTCCATGCAATAACTATGATGATCACAACCAAAAAGATGACTTTAAATGAATGTACCCTAATACAGATAGCTTGTCTTAAGATTTTCTCCCAAACAATTCTTGTACTGGTATCTGCAGCCATGTTCTTTAAAACAGTGTGATCCGTTAGACCATAGTGATACAGGTCCGAGATGGGGATAAAAGTTCACAGTGCGACAGATGTTCTCCAATGAGAAGATGATTGGGAGGATATCGAATCTGTGTTGCACGTGTTTCAGACATATCTTGGACACGAAACAAAAATCGTTTCAAAAACATTCTGATCAATTCACGTCTCTGTTCACACATCATAGATATGCGCTGGTGCAGAGCAGATGCTGTTCAATGCACTGCAGATGTCTTGTGTTTATGGGAGCCACGGGTGGCGTGGCGTCTAAGGCGCCGCGATTCGCTGTGCAGGGTTGCGTCCCGTGGGCACCCCAGAAACCTATAATTGTGGATTCGAATCACGGTTCGCCCCGATTATGTTTCTAGGTTTGTCAGCACCATACCCGTGCTCGTGGGTTTCACCGAAGTGGTAAACGTCTGAGACCTGCATTACTTCGGGCTTCACTCCCACATTAAGCTGACACGCCGCGATATAACTGGAATTCTGTTACAAAGCGGCGTTAAACCCAACTCTCTCATTCTTATGTTTATGGAAAGGTTTGTGACGTTTTTATATAAAATTTGAGGATTCAGTTGAGAGTGATCATGGATTCCATGTTTCATTGCTCTACTCTTAAAGAAACAAGGTATTTTTTGTATTGTGTTTGCTGTATAACACTCACACAATAATCCAGTTATATAAATGTAAATAATTGCGTAATTGATAAAAAGTATTTCAGATTGCTGCGGCATGCATGGTGTGTGTGGGAAAGATTAATGTGACCGATACACTCCTAACATGGCAACTATGTTTGAGCTTTAACGTTTATTGTACAGTGACGTTTTCTGCGGGTGTTTGGATGCATACTTTGAGTTTGTTGTGTCATGATTTGAGAATACTCTCTGCGTACGTTCTCCACCAATTATAGCTAAAATGGATGGAATTATCATTACACCGCCCGAATGTTATCAGAAATCAGCGGGCAAATGTAACTTGATAATGCCCTCATATTGCTTGACGACGGGCCATTATCACGCCCGTTGTTAGGTGACGTCACAGTGAGTGAGTTGGGTTTAACGCCGCTTTTAACAGTATTCCAGTTATATCGCGGCGTTCACAGGATAGGGTTAGGTGACGTCACGTTGAATAGTGACGTCATCTGGTTTGTTCTATGACGTTTCCATATTTGTAAAAGTGGGTCAGTGGCATTCGTGTGTGATTGCAGTAAATGTTTCAAAACCGATATTGTTGTTTCTTTTTATTTGATAAATTCCATCCATTTAAGCATAAATAACGGTAATGCTATTTTTCAGCCCTCGGTCTTTTTTCAACTGCCCTCCTTCGTCGGGCCGTTAATGGAAAACCTCGGGCTTCTGCAAATGATAATGTCCTGAAAAATAGCGTTACCCTTATAATAACGTGTTTTTACGAGTTTTGCTTCTGATGGGTATATATGAGATTGATAAATGAAATATATGTGAAAAACATCAAGTCCATGTTATTCTATGAGAAATTGTTTTCCTTGGAAAACTACCATTAGTAAATAGTTAAAGTTACACTTGCCTCTAATCATACCCAAAACTCCAATTATTTCCACGTTTTACCACACAACTGTTTTGCTGTTTGTTTGTTGTATAACGTCACACTTAGCAATATTCCAGCTATATGACGGAGGTAATATTCTTATGACAAGATTGTGTGGGCTTCACGTAAACAGAGCGAGAGCAAGTGATCTATTTAAACCAACAAATGTTGCCAATCCAATATTGCTCGAAACTGATGTTATATTTGATCACGCAATAATGAATGTATATACATATATTGTCCCTCTGTTCCTTTGAGGGTTAATTTATAAAAAAAAGTTATCAAATCTTATCAAGTATACTGGATTAATATTGATTCACTGGCGTTGTCTAACTTATTATCTAATTGTTACATCGTATTTCTCATATTCTATACCTCTCAGTGAGATATTGACCATAATTTTGCAGAATTTACTTTCAAACAACCAGCTTTGTACTGTCAGCTCATTTCCCTAAAGCACATTATCATATTGCCAATGTCAGAAAGAAGAATATACCAAACATCCTCCAAATCCTTTGGGAATAATTACAGTCAGTTTGTAATTTATTTCGCTCGAATTGATTGACATTGTGTTTTCTAGTCACAATGCTGGTAGGAATAGACAAGGGATTACATGGATACTGGTTCCGCGTTCCTTATTCGCTAGCAGAACCAGACAGATACTTAAACAGCAGACGGTCAATTTCTGAAATCAATAAAGCTTAGAAGTAGATTATACTGAGCTAGAGGGTGATAGTTGTGTCTTGTCCTCGTGCTTATTGTCATACAGATCCGACAATATTTGAGGGTATTCTCACATAGATCTGACAATTCAACATTTGAGGCTATTCTCACATAGATCTGACAATTCAACATTTGAAGGAGCATACTGTAAGGACTGACTTTGAGGTGGAACTGTCCTGGATATATTAACACCCGGTGTCCTTTGACGGGTATCGGCATATTTGGAGCGTGTTCGTGTCTTGTACTTACAGAACTTGCACAGACTAACCTTCTGGGTGCTTGATGCAGTGGACAGTGGCCAAACCTAGAATAGAACCCGAAAGAGAAAGTAATTGGTCAACAATATTCAAGGGATCAAGTTCAGCAAATGGATTTGAGACAATATACAACAGGTGTTATACTGCTTGTTTTATGATTCGTCTGTCCTTGTAGTATTCTGAATTATTCGACGTTTCAGTCTTCATTGTCAGATACTGATTACACTTCAAGGAGAAAAACTGTTTCTCTCAGAGGAACTATATATGTTCCTGAAAGAAATTCGAAGTTAGTTGTGATGCTCACGTGTGAATAACTTTATAGAACAGTTTAACCGTTGATCGGTCGATTGAAGAAAAGGAGGTTTTTAATATGGCTCCAAGGGTGGACATCCTGTTCTTGCTAGTTTTCTTTGGCCTAACATATACATGTCAAGACTGTCTGGTCAGAAGGTTGTTATCATTTCAAAATGAAGTTGTACAAGACTGCATGCTTTTCAACATGTCATCGCCTCATCATTCTGTGTGTTTTAAGCTGTGCTTAAACAACATTGCGTGTTTGGGCTTCAGTTACAGTGAAACAAGCAAGCGTTGTCATGGATATTCCATAAACATATCCGACTCTGCAGGACTACATGCAGTTCACTCTACTGGGTATCATCACTACTCTGTTCAGTGCGAAGGTACAGTATTTCAAACGTATTTCGCGCCTTACATCAAATATTGTTTACGCGAATTAATGTTACATTATCTCACAACTCACAGGAGACTTAAAACTAATATCCAAACGTTGAGTCCGGGACAGAGTCGCCCAGTACCGGATATTTACAACAAGAACCGACTTAATGAGGAGAGGATGGTCCCATTTGTGATATTACTCATTTTCATGATATTTCGGCGGCGTGGTTCGACAAGTCTAGTTTGGTCGACCCTGTTTCTACTATATATTTAGAATATACCTTCCAGCGACGTAGTCACATTATAGTGACTTACAACAGTGCTACCACCCGCGCGAATAACGTTTAAGGGATATATACGTTTTGTAACACAGTGGGGGTTAAACATGTTTTGATGCAATCATCATTAAACTTGGTATATATACCTTCTCAAGTTGGTTGGTTGGTTTGTTGTTTAACGCCGCAACCAGCAATATTCCAGCTATATGACGGCGGTCTGTAAAATAATCAAGTCTGGACCAGACAATCCAGTGATTAATATCATGAACATCGATCCATGCAATTGGGATCGATGACATGCATCAAGCAAGTCAGCGAGCCTGACCTCCCTATCCCGTTAGTCGCCTCTTACGAGAATAAGCCCATTTCGGAAAGTTTTTCGAAAACAAGGTTATATATCCTTTTCGGTTTCGGAGGCATACTTACCACTGGAAATTTATGTGTCTTAACAAATCCTACCATATCACAGAAACATGTAAATTACATCTGTATCGGAGATCAAGGTCAGATTTGAAGTACTTTGAAATGTACTTGCATCAGTCTTTCTCTTGAATATGGTACTGTTACAATTATACGACGTGGCCTTTGGGAATTCTTTTGTCACATACTTTGACGACCCGATGAAGATTCCGGGGTAGAATAGGTCTTCAGACACCCATGCTTTCCGTAAAAGGCGACTATGTTTGTCGTAAAAGGCGACTAACGGGATCGGGTGGTCTGGCTCGCTGACTTGGTTGATGCATGTCATCGATCCAAATTGCGTGGATCGATGCTCATGACATCAATCACTGGATTGTCTGGTCCAGACTCAATTATTTACCGACCGCCGTCATATAGCTGGAATATTGCTGAGTGCGGCGTTAAACAACAAACCATCAACCAACCAACCAACATGCTTTGACATGGTCAAATATATATTAGATATAAAAAAATATTAACATAAAGGGTTTGATAATTGTCGGACATGTCCATGTAGTTGTTGAGTAGCGTTTTGACCTGATTCAATAGCAAGTATCACTTAAATGAAAGTGAATTAAGTTTGGCCTTGGACCTGACATGCTCTTGTTTAATAATGACAAAAATGTTTGTCCCACAAATTAACTGAAATCAACCTTTGTCACATATTAGCATTGCGGATGCGTTGCGTGTTCTTGTCTGCTAGGAAACGAGATGGTGTCTGGTCCTAACATTTTACCGTTCTCAGCTAGATTTCTGTAATGAAACAGATGACGGTTTAAAGGTTTCATAAACTTTAAAGTGAATTTCGGTATAACAAAAGGAATGACTACTCTTCACGTGGTCAATATGCGAAAACAAGGACACTCGGACCCAACCCCTGGGGTGGTCTGACCAGACCGAGGCCGCATTGACCTCGTCAAGTGTAATTATTTGTATATTGTTTGATAACGCAGTCAGAAAAAGCAGCAAAATCACAATCGCATGCAAATTATCGAGTCTAAACCTGGAAAATAAAACAACGACCAATGTCACTGGGGCACGATGTTACGTCATCAAGCCTGACCCTATACCCAGCCAGTTCTCATGGCGTTTAGGGAGTGCTTGGTATCTATAATTATTCTTACCTGGGGTACCATGGACCTTCAGCGACAGATATACCTTACACGGCGGTAATAGGAAACATTGCTCTACATGCTTATCTATACTCAACAACAAAAGTTCCTGTGACACCAATATTTTAGTGTATTTTTCAAACAAGTAAAGTTTGGTTTTCAATATTGTAGTACATGTATGGAATCAAGTCACAAAAACGCAACTGCTACAGAAAAGCATGCATTCCATGCAAAAGTTGACTTTTATGCAAGCCCCTTGCATTTCACTCCCCAAGAATGTGTATAAAAACATGTGCGTTAACGGGAGTCCAAATGCATTGGTTAGCATCGTGCTTACAACAACCACTCAGAAACAACAAAATTACGCAATTATTCAATATTACGAAATGCCAGGCCTGTCAGAAAATGAGCGTCCGCGAGCCATTGGTATGCTTGAAGCAGGATCGAGTTAACGTGATGTTGCAAAACAAATTTAACGTCCACAGAAACACCATTTGGTGTTTATGGCAACGTTGGCAACAGACGAATGCAGTCAGAGACCCTACTCGGAGTTGCAGGCCACGCGTAACCAATAATCTACAAGACAACTGGATTCGAACAACACACCTACGAAATCGATTCCAGCCAGCAACAGTGACTGCGAGAAGCATCCCTGGCCTTCGACGAATATCTTCACAAACCGTACGTCGCCGCATCAGATGTGCAGGGATTATCGCCAGAAGACCCGCCACACGTCCCATTTTGACAGGAAACCACCGTCAAGCACGTCTACAGTTGTGCAGACAGCGTCTACGCTGGACGGCCATGCACTGGGGACAAGTTCTATTCACTGATGAGTCTCGTTTTCACCTTAGCCACACCGATGGACGGATTCGACTGTACCGACGTCGAGGTGAACGTTACGTCAATCATTGTGTCATGGAAGAAGATCGGTTCGGGGGCGGCAGCGTTATGGTATGGGTTGGGATTACAGAAAGACAGAGGACCCGTTTGATGGCGGTAGAGGGAAATCTCAATGGACAGCGCTACCGCGACGAGATCATGGACCAGGCATTACCTTTCAACATGACAACGCCCGGCCTCATATTGCTCGCCTTGTTCAGGGTTCTCTTCAACAAAACAACGTGAATGTCATCCCCTGGCCAGCTCGCTCCGCTGATCCCTCACCAATCGAGCACATGTGGGATGAGATGTCAACCACGTGTTCCACAGACACTCCAGGAACTTCGAAACATTCTCCAGCAGATATGGACAGATATCCCACAGGACTTGTGCGACGCCTGGTCCATTCCATGAGACGAAGATGTGTTGCTTGCATCGCAACCAGAGGTGGGCACACACGCTATTGATTTGTAAATTGACATTTTTTTTCATGTTTTTTTATGAAATCACGCATTTTCTGAAGTCAGTATGGCAAATTAAACCATTTGAACGCTTACAGGAATCTTTTATCTGTTGCAAACCGAAATTGTTTCAGATTTGGTAAAAAACATAACTTTGCATTAAATCTTATTCAATGTCACAGGAACTTTTGTTGTTCAGTATATATGTCTTCAAGGGAGTATTTACTTGGTATTCTGTTAATTCAGAGAACACTATTTTGAATTGTTGATCCAACACGACGAATTGTTTCTATTTCAGGTAGGGTTATCTCGAGCAAGGAGTGCATTCTGATAGATTCAACTACATCACATCAAACAACACATCTCCAAACCCCTTCAACAACATCTACAACCCCTACAATATCTGCAACCACCACCGCAGGAACATATACAACGAAGACTCCAACAACACATTTCACCCCTTCGACCTCAACCACAACCACTACCAATGCAGCATCCTCAACCACAACCACTCTAACATCTATCGCAACTCCAACAACCACTACGACCCCAGATACAACGATTCTAACAACAGCTACCACCCCTTCGACCTCAACCACAACCACTACCAATGCAACATCCTCAACCACAACCACTCCAACATCTCTCGCAACTCCAACAACCACTAACACCCCTACGACCGCTACCGCAACCACTACCACCCCTATATCATTCACCACAGCCACTCAAACTACAACCACCCCTGCGACTTCCACTCCAACAACCACTCCAACAACCACAACTACCACTACGACCCCCACCACAACTACTTCCACCACTACCACCCCTGCGACTTCCACCACAACCACTCCAACAACCACAACTACCACTACGACCCCAACAACAACTTCTTCCACCACTACCACCACTACGACCTCCACCAGAACCATAACTTCCACCAGTAGGCCCCTCGCAGGAGGCCCTCGTGGTCGCGGCTTCCCAAGGGGCTAACTGTCTGTTTGGCTGCGATAGACATGATATTAAGCATGAAATAAAACTACATTCAGTCCGTCTGGTTAAGCTGCAGCTTACTGATATTGTTTCTATGGACTTGTGATCTAAACAAATTGATAGGGGCGTCGGCTTCGTGTCCACCGACTTACTGTTGGTAGGATCTTTAGATTGTGACCTTCTTCGCATTTTGACAATAACCTATCCGGGATTCATTGTCTGTATCTATGTTAACTGAAACATGATTATTCAATATCGACAGAAGGTTATGGTGTTTAAAACAAATTACAACATATCCACGTACCGTGTCATTCATTTGAGTGTGATTTCTATACCCTTCATGCAGTACTGCTAGAAACTACAGTAAACAACGGTTTTAACGAACTCAAAGGGACCACTAATTTTAGTTCGTTATAACCGTTGTTCGTTATAAGCATATATACAGCATAACTAAAGCAAATTGTAGGGACAAAAAAGTAAGTTCGTTATATCCGTCAGCTCGTTATAAGCTTGTTCGTTATAACCGTAGTTTACTGTACATGTACATGTATCACATCCGTGTATATGTATTCACAAATTGTCAATAAAAACACAAAAACTTCACGCGAACAAACGTGATGGTGGCCTTTCGGACGTCCTGTTTAGACCGGGTTCCATTTACTTAGTAATATAAGTGTTACTTTTTCTTGCTCCTGTACTAGATTGTCTTCGGTTCCATGTCATTAACATTCTGTGTTTCTTTAATGATAACTGGTAGATAAATCCATATAAGTGGCACTTAAATATTCACCATTGTTTACGTTAATTTAAGTGTTTACCTGACATTTGTTCAATAAGTATAATCTTCAGTATTTATAATTAGTCCCTCAATAGTACGCGTTTTATTTAAAAATGCCACTGTTCTTGTTATTTTTCTGTATCATAATTGATGTCTGGTGTCATTGCAGGAAGCTTGCACGTGTAATACTTTCAACATTTTATGAAGAACAAGGTTCAGTCATTGTAAATTTAGCAAAACCGGTTTGATATGTACGTATTTGATCTGACTTGAGGGTGCATACGAGCCTATGTCCAATAGCGAATCGCATGTCATCGTCAGCGCCATTTTATACACCGTTTTGTTTTGATAAACATGGAATAAAACCTACTTGTAATTTATGTTTACGATTTACTTTGAGCGACAATGAACCGATTTGTAACAAACTTCGCCTTCTGTTGTTATTAAACTGCCTATGTGGCTATCGAAGACTTTTGCCTACATTCATATTCGCGTTTGGGATCCCAGAAACGATCTGACAGATGTATATCAGTTTTTTAGTTATCCCGTGGACATGACTGAACAAGTCGGTTATTGGAAAGGGATACTGTGGTCCAATTGGACTTGTCTCCGACGTAACACTTAACATTGCATTTTACAACAATCTCGCATTCCAAAAATGAAGTCAACAAGTCAATCTTTGATGACTCATATTTATCTATATACGTCAGGCACACAACACACACATTCCAAACTGTCCCATATCCCATACAATTAGCAAAGTAGAGATATTTTCATGTTTCAGGGGTCATCTTGAATATTTCAAAATGCCCAAAGATGACAGAGGGTCATCCTGCAATTAAAAAAATACCCCCTATTTCTTGGTGGAGAGAAACTATCCATTTCTCTGCCGAACTATAATAGTCCCACTTTATGTCATCGCTGAAGTTATTTACAAGCGGGGAGCACTTGTCTTATGTGTCGCAATTCGCTGTGCAGAGTTACGTCGCTTAGGGCACGCAAGGGTTTGTAGGTGTCGCCAAATTGGAACACGTCTGACACTTGCATCATTTCATCATTCCCAAATTAAGGTGACACTCGCTGATGCATGTATAACTGGAATTCTGTTCAAAACGGTGCTAAACCCAACTCACTCACATGATTGCTATCGGGTTATATTTTGTCTCCATATCATATTGTTTCATCCCGGAAAAAACTTTTACATTTATCTTGTATCCTTTAGAAACATTTTAGGACGTATTTTCACCGTAATTCATCATGAGTGAGTGAGTGAGTTAAAATTTAACGTCGCATCGGCATTATTTCAGCCATATAGCGACGAGACCAAGATAATATATTTACAATTTAGTTATTAATGCAACTTTTCATTGAAATACAAGTTGTGAAACATATTTCAGAATAATATATTTAGAAACAATTTATGAAACATATTTGAGCATAACAAGATTATACAGTTTTAAAACACGGGCTATAGGCCACCAGTAACCAAAGCTAGGCCACCTAACTGGGGATCATAGGGACTTACAGTACCTCTGCGTACTGCATGATACCCCAGCAGGATTTACGTCATCACTTTAGCTACTGGTGGTTGTGAACAATACTAGCCAATATAAAAAAATACTCAGCAATGAATTGGCTTGAAAACACTGGTTGATGATAGTTACGTCGATTATGATAGGATTTCGTGTCACACAGGGGGACAATAATTTTACGACTTTGAAACGAAGACATGGAGAATTTCTAAACTTCTAAACAATACGATGAAATCTCAAGAACCTTTTATGTCCACGTTACGCTATATTTCGAACACAGTGTATTGTGGTTTGTTGCATTTTGGTTTGTTGCATTCTTTATGGTAGTATAATTAACACGATTCTATTTTATACTAATGCTCATTAATAATATAATATGGACATATTAACATCAATCATGATTTGGGAATGGGATCGGTAGAACTGGAAGATTCGATCTCTGTGTCCCACAGCGGGACATGATGACTCTCAGGGGAGAGTGAGTGAGTTTGGTTTTACGCCGATTTTAGCAATATTCCAGCAATATCAGGGCGGGGGACACCAGAAATGGGCTTCAGGGAAGACATTCTGGATGCGTACCTAGAGACCGTATTCTGGTGCAATCGGACCGGACTTCATCCTCAAAGATGATAACGCACGACTCCAGGGTCGTTGATGATTACTCAGAACAGGTGACCATTGTCCGAATGAAGTGGCCAGCCCTGTCACCAGACCTCAATGAGCTGCAGATGCCCTCTCAAGACGCCCTGTCCTTCCGGCAACTCTCCAGTAACTCGGCAATTCTCTTTCTGAAGAGTGAGTGAGTGAGTGAATGAGTGAGGTTTTACGCCATTTTGAGCAATATTCCAGCAATATCACGGCGGGGGCGATGGGCTTCACACATCGTACCTATCTCGGGAATCGAACCCGGGTCGTCGGCGAGACGAGCGAATGTTTAAACCACTAGCCCCTTCTGAAGAGAGAACCACCCAGATGCCAGGCTTTGATCGCATTATGTGGATCGCATGTACGTGCTACTGAAAGTTGTTTTGGGTGACAATGAATTTGTTTTCATGACTTTTTGACGTTTTAGTTTTATTCAGACACTCTTATTTTGACGAGTGATTGGACTTATTATTGGTCACATGTCGTTTGTTGTCATTGTGTGACACATGACAACGGACTTTGTTAATTAAACACTTCTTCACAGTGTCTATGGCAATTTCAACAGAGGCACACAATTTGACACATTACCTTAAAAGGGGATATCCTATGCAAACTTTGCGTAGTATTTCTCATAAATGTGTCATAAGTTCCACATGTGCAGCTTCTTCTTACAAGAAGTTCACAAGTTCATAATTCACCGATCTCGTCTAGTTTCTTAACAATATGAAACATTTCAATTTCCCTATCAAATGGTGAGTAGTAGACATATTACAGAGTGAACGATAAACTCGCATATGTGCCCACAGCCCACACTGACTCGCCCACGACGTAAACAGTAATGGCGACCAACGGAGTTCCCGGCCAAGCCTACATGAGTGAGTTTATCAGCGTTACTAGCCGAATCAAAATGACTATAAACAACATCATCATCATACACAGGAATATCGGCATCCATTTTTTACAATTTCACAGAAACAAGTCGGCCCGACATCTAAGTACATGCCCCATCCACTCCCTAGGACCAGACATCTTTTTGAAGATCCAGAGCAGAAGACGGTATCTCAACTAAAGCATAACATTATTAGCAGGAACGCCTTCCACAGAATAGTCTGTATCCGAAAACAAAGACTTCAGAAAGAATAGAATAAAGGGAGGGTGCAAATATGGACAGAGTGAGATTTTCCCCTCTACGTTTAAACTTACAAAGTTTTTTATTAACGTGTATGGATTTTATCACACTAAGTGTGATCCTAACACTTTGGATGTTCCATACTACATGTATACCTCCTACACTAAGAACAGGGTATCATGGAACAGATGTGAATGTTTAGCTATACTAATATGTACTAATATATACTTAAACTGATACCCTGTGAAATTGCTCCCAGACAAACACTTATTGAATAACGAACTCCGTTCCAGTATCCCCCGCCAAGAAGTAATAACGCTGACAATGTGTCACAGTACATGATATTACGATGGATCAACATTTCTGATGTCGTTTACGGTACCTACGCTTTGCGAAATATCACTGTAATGCTGTATCAGACCAGAAGATATGAATGAGACTCAATTCGAAACTGCCAAGTGTATGTTTATTGCCTGGGTGTTATCAACAGCAAGATCACACATGACCTTCTGGCATCTTGAGAGCCGGGGTTGTCGGCTTGTTTTCATATACTTCATGTTAAAAAACCTCTGGTGCAAATTGTTCCACGTCAATGACAAATATATCATATATAATAAGAATGAATGCTTAACAGATTCTTATTTTCCATGACGTATGTATATACATCACCGACCTCGTACAACTATCTCCAAACGAAGGCGTTGCCTCTTAATTGATTCATAGTAAAATATTCTTATGGATTTAACTATTTCCATTGTATGTGAAATCCATATATACTACCAAGCGGCTGGCCCAAATGGTTTTTACTGATATTGAACATAAAATTAGTAAATATTACTCTGTTCATGATATATTATTACATGCGATTTTGATACTGGAACAGAAACTCTAAGTGATTTTACATGTGTTTCAAGTCAGATATTACCATACAGATATATGAGAGTATGCTGTTGAAGACGTTGATATTTCAGATGTATTAGATGGACTCATCATTCCAGCAGAGAGGACGTATGATGATACGGGGAGTCGAATGCACGTTCCCGACTTTATCATGATCAATTTATGAATCACTATCAAATAGTGATAATACCAGCTGTTCGCAAAAAGGGGAGCGTACCCTGCCCCAGCGATGGCACCCGTCACAAACACATGCAAAGGCAAGTCAACTGTCGACCTGAAAAAAACATAGGAACTTATGGTACAAGCCAAAATAGAGAACTGTATAGGACACCGTTTTCGTCACTGATGCGTCAAATTTGGAAATGTCCCCCACATGTCTACCAAAAAGCGTTTTGATGCCTTGAATGTTGTATTCGTGATCGAACAACTTTTGAGCAAGAGTCGTATGACATTTAATTTAAGACATAAGGAGGAAAAGTACTTATTCAACATAAATGGGATTTGCAGAAAATAATAACATGGAAATATCAATTGAAAGGTCGTAAGCCTTATCGACTATGTACCAGCACCATTCATCTGAATATCCTAACATATATTTTCAATTGTATTGCAAAACATGTTAAACCAATCCTATCAGACGCTCATACTGCTATACTACTCATATTGAGCTAGTTGTCCTGTTGATAGCCTCCAATGTCATCTTGCTGATACCGGAATACAATGAAGACAATCCCAAGGACTCCACGTGTAAAATCAGACTCAGAAGAGTGTGTATGCATAGGGCAAAAAGGAGTGGGACTAAAACCAATTCTCGTTATTTTATGCACGTCTTAACTATTGTGATACATTACCTTTGTCAACATTTCTGGTTTTACGTTTTACATTTGAATATTATCTTCACTTTATTTAAGCTATATACATTGTCCTGGCTATAGGTTCTGTTCCATAAAGATTTACCATAAACTACCTTATATTAACATTTAAAAAATTAATCAAACAAGAAAACAGCGTTATCAATATGCCCCGTCACGGGGCACAAGAGGAATTTATTGTAAATCTAGGAGTGAATAATATGGAGGTTAACTATACAAAAGAGTCATATATACATATTAACAAGAGATAGACACTCGGGTCGCTATGTCATCAGAAGAATGTATTAATGTGAACTTAATACACGCAAACCGTCTTCTCTAGAATTTGTATGGCACCAATATTCGTCCTCAGTCTCGACAAGTATCTTTTAGATAATTTATGCTTATAGAGTTTCATTCATGTAACTTAAGTAGTTTCTGAGAAAACCTGTCCCAATTGCGGACACTTTGCATTAAGTAAAATAACAAGGCAGACAATAATTAAGGGCAGATAGAGTGCAAAAAAATAATTTACAGCTCCAAGTTTCGAACTCAGTCCTGACATGTATCCCTACAATAAGCAAAGCAAATCTTCATCCATGTAACTTCAGTGGTTTCTGAGAAACATTGTCGCCATTTCACGCAGTATGCACTAAGTTGACAGCATGGCGCAAGGGCCATAACTCTGTAAAAAAAAAGAATTATGACACTAATTTTCGAACTCATTTCCGATCGTGACCAGTAACACCAGTGTGTAAACTTTCATTTCTCTAACTTGAACAGTATTTGACGAAATGTTTCCCCATTTAGAAGCGGTGAGACGAACTCCGTTCCAATTTTCCCCGCCACGAAGTAATAACGCTGACAATGTGTCACATTGTATTACGATGGATCAACATTTCAGATGTCGTTTACTGTACCTACGCTTTGCCCAATATCACTGCAATGATGTGTCAGACCAGAAGATATAAATGAGACTCAATTCGAAACAGCCAAGTGTATGTTTATTGCTTGGGTGTTATCAACAGCAAGAACACATATGACCTTCTAGCATCTTGAGGGCCGGGATAGTCGGCTTGTTTTAATATGGTCCATGCAAAAAAAGCTCTGGTGCGAGTTGTTCCACGTCAATGACAAATATATCATATATGATAACAATGAATGCTTCACAGATTCTTATGTTCCATGACGCACGTGACCCGTGAAGATTCCGGGGAAGAATAGGTCTTCAGCAACCTATGCTTGTCGTAAAAGGCGACTAACGGGATCGGGTGGTCAGGCTCGCTGACTTGGTTGATGCATGTCATTGATCCCAACTGCGTGGATCGATGCTCATGATATTATTCAGTGGATTGTCTGGTCCAGACTCGAATATTTACAGACCGCCGTCATATAGCTGGAATATTGCTGAGTGCGGAGTTAAACAACAAACCAACCAACCAACCAACCATGACGTACGTACGTACGTATATACATCATCGACTTCGTACAACTATCTCCAAACGAAGGTGTTGCCTCTTAATGATTTACAGTAAAATATTCTTATGGTTTTAACTATTTTCATTGTATGTCAAATCCATTAATAATTGTGACCAAGCATGCGATAAGGCACTTTAAGGGTCGCAAATCACTTTTTGACTTTTTTACATTTTAAAGCAACAATATCTCCGGAAAACAGAAATAGATTTCACAAGCTCCAATTCATATGTATTACAGATATACATGACATCAAACATTTTGACTCGTTTTCCGACTTATAACTGTTTAAGTAAATTAATAATGGCGGTTTTTCGACATAATGTCAGGAATTGAAAGGAGACATGAATGCTGAAAGGTTTTGAAATAATGCGTTTATTACATTACGAAATAACGAGAGAAAATTAGATGTGTTTGTACAGTCCGCACACATGGAGATCTTCACTGAAGTAGGTTGACGTCAAACGTCTTTATGACGTCATAGCACAATTGTATCCTAGCACATATGAGGTGCCTTTTCTCACAATTGTTGACAAATGTTCATCGTAAGGACGATGGGACCCTAGGCACAATGTCGAACATAGAGTATGGACGAAGAATGGAACATTTCATAAACTGATGACCCAGGCGTGTTCCAAGTTGATCCATATTCACACGAATACTCCCCGTCTGATATCTGCACAGCCCAAGCAACGATGCACTCAAAGTGTTCCTCCTGAAGACATACATCTCTACATTCCCCTGGAGCATCCACAGTTGGGCCCCAGGTGTGATTGGCTGTTGTAATCGCGCTGGTAACCGAGTACTCGCTGAAACTGCTACCATACCTCTGACAGTCTGAAACAATGAGAAAACAGTTACGTTGTAACGGCAGCTAAGTAATGAGAGGAAATTCGATACTAGTTTTATTAATGATGTCATGACCTTGGTTTAACTTCACCTGATACAACATTCACGAAGAGTTCCTGTTATCCCCTTTGATGCCAAGTTAACTTTCCTGACGCACGAAGTGAAGGTTGTGCGAGAATTGCGGTCGCCAAGCACTGTCTTACATTAAATATTTAATTTCGCAGAGATGTATAACAGTCAATTTCCAATCCGAGGATTACAATAATCTAATTGTTGCCCGAGATTTTGTTTTAGAGTGGAACCTGAAAGTTCCCCATTTTTAACCGAGAAAGATACTGTACGATGAAACGTTTTATTTGCCATCTTTTTGATACTGCTAGTGAGGAAAATACTGCATAATATCTGAACGACACAAATATATATATATACACACACTCTTCAAACAAAAAGAAACGCACAGGTAGTATGTAGTTCATTGAACCTGACTACACAAATATATATAAATTGGATATATGTTATGGGACAATGTTGGTGGCCTGATATTCGACGAGCGGTGCGTCAAAACGCAGCCATTGTCGATTTGCAATGTCTTAAACGGCATTGTTTTCACACTTGTTCAAAAATGTCATGGAGGAAAACAGTAAAGCAAAATGCACGTGCAAGTTATGGCATTCGTAACTCGTGGTAGTGGCTATAAAAAGGCAAGCATAAGCCAATAATTTGTCATTCAATTGTCAACATGTTTCAAGCTCGAAAATGCCGAGACTCACCGCTACCGATCGGAACATCGCTACAGGACGTATCGAAAGAGGGGAATCACAGCCTATTGTTGCACGCCATTTCAACGTCCACCACCGCACCATTTGCCGCCTTTGGGACCGATATACACAGTTCAATTCAACTGCAGACCGTCCGAGAAAAGGCTGACCAAGAGTTACCACCCCTGCACAGAATCGCTACATTCGACTGTTCCACCTACGTCATGGCAATGCCACAGCTACGGAGACTGCAGGGCGCATCCCCGGTTTGAGGGCTGGAGTCCGACCCAGAAGACCGGTTATCGTCCCTGTTTTGACACAGATCCATCAATAGCGTTGGTGCCATACGTTACAGCCTTGGAATTTGAGACACTGGAGACGAGTGTTGTTTAGCGATGAATCACGATTTCTTCTTCACCGGCGAGATGGAAGACAACGTGTTTATCGTCGTCGAAATGATCGTTTTGCCCAACATTGTGTACGTGAATTCAACAATTTCAGTGGCGGTAGTGTCATGGTGTGGGGGGCCATATCCTACACCACGAGATCTGACTAGGTTGTGGTTCAGGCAAATTTGACAGCAATTCGTTACATGAATCAAATTCTTCAACCTCACCTTCTTCCAATCATTGACCGCAAGAGGAGGCTGTTTCAACGGGACAACGCTCCACCGCACACACCTCGTGTCACAGTAGAATACCTTCATAATGCCAACATCAACGGCTTGTCCTGGCGGTCAAGATCTCCGGATCTAAACCCAATCGAACACCTCTGGGATGAACTCGATCGACGTGTATCTCAACGTCAGAACACTCCGCAGACATTCCAAAAACTGGCCACCGCGTTACAAGCAGAATGGCGCAGAATTCCGCGGGACAGAATGCGTACACTTATCCCGTCAGTGCCGAGGAGATCGGAGCCGTGATTGCTGCCCGGGGCGGTCACACGAGTTCAGCGCAACCTTGTGGCCTTATGTGACATGACAATAAACAGTTTGCAATGCCTTTGTACAACGACAACATGTGATTATCGAGATCCCAAATTTCAAATTTGTATCTATGATATTAAATTAAATATATCGACTTTATTAGGTACAGTAAATTTACTAAAAATCTACCTGTGCGTTTCTTTTTTTAAAGAGTATATATCAAATTCTATAATCTTCAGAGGTTCGGGACAATTTGCCAATAATGAAATCAAGTGTCGTCGGACCTTTACAGGACTACCTCTTTGCAATTATGTGAACTTTGGGGGGTAAGACATTTGGCATCCTCAGGGTCACCAATTGTGCTCCACATCGTGCTGATCTGATTCTTTTTGTGTTTGCATCGGACATTCAGTTCGGATTAGCAAAACCAAAAACAAAGAAATTTGGCAAATAATGTCTGTAAAAGTCATTTCAGGCGTGTAGATAAACATCGGGTGTTTTCCACCATATTTGGCGATACATGCACGCCTCCTTGATGGCAAACTTTTGATTAACTTGCGTATGGTTGCCCTTGGTCTTGCCCGCCATTTCGCCTGAAGAGCTTCCTCAAGCTCGGCCACGTTTGCAGGTGCTAGGTCTCTCTCATCCAGAAATGCTCTATTAGGGACATGTCAGGGACCTTAGCTGGTCAGTCAAATGTCCTAAACCCTCTCGTCGGAGATAATCGGTGACTACATGGGCGCGATGTGGTCTGTCACTGTCATCCTTCAAATTTCTGCCCATAATTCTAGCGAATGGAACACAACAGGACGTATCGCAGTCAAATGTCCATTCACCATAACCAAATCAAATCGCCAGTATGATACTGGCCCATATGACACAACCGTGCATATACCTATCACGGAAAAGAATTGTTGTCCTGGCATTCGCTCGCCGCTTCGTGGCCAACGATTTCTGCCATCTGTGAATCGGAGGCAAAAAAATTGATGCGTCTGTAAACATGGTGTAACGCCATTGGCGCACAGCCCGTCCATGGTGTTGTCCAGCCACAGTTCGCCATTTTGACTTCCTATTGAGAAACTGTCTCGGAGGCATTTATTACCGCATGCTCAGCTCAATTGCGTCGTGATTGTGAGTTCCCCTTTTAACGCATATGCACCACGTGCTGTTCATGCATGATGTAAAATGTCATTGTCATTAATTAGAAGTTGCTTTCAGATGAAACGCCACGGTATGCAATTTGTTATGTCAAATACAAATTAAATAAGTTTAAATAAATCAAACACTGAAAAAAAGTATTATAAACAATTATTTTTTTATGATATCGGAGATGTACGCATGCTTCTTTAGTGTGTGGAATGTATCGTAATTATACAATTAATAACGAATAAAATATAAAATATGCCCAAAACACTTTTGTTATGTGATTTTTTCAGAATGAATCGTATACGGTTCATATTACAGAAGTATAGACATGAAAAATCGACAATTAATTCAAGATTTAAAACATGTTCCAACAAATGAGTACTTCGAAAATCGTATCTGATTAAACACGAACTGTTTACATCTCCTCACGTATATATCCTCAAATACACTTCGGAAACACAATGAATGTTCCACAAAGAGGTGAGGTGGGTATAACATCATGTTCAAAATTGTTGCACTTATATAGCGACGTGTCTGTTGCTGCATTTATTATTCCGAACTATACTGCTGGCCCACTGACATACCACGCCACAGTTTAACATACTCCTATCAGACACACTGTGCTGCCTCCGAGCCGGACAGTAATGTTGTAACCCCTTGATGCCAAATGCCATGCATGCCGACATTATTATTTACATTTACAGCGTTACTCACTAATGGATCAGGAGCTACTTACACACAACACAGGCCATATTTGATGCATCGTAACTCAGCCCAGTCATACACGAGCAGCTGCCGCCGTAGCACGTAGATTCACGAACGTCACAGTCACCATCGTGGTTGCACGAGCTTCCGAATATTCGAGGACCGCCATGTGTAGAAAGAACCAGATCTGACAAAGATGAAATAAGTTTTGTTTTCAAGAATATCGAGAAATGAAGTACTCTCTGCCTAAACTAAATATGTATAATCTCTGGAGTACATGTGTCTTGTTGATCTGATTTGCTTAGATTTGTTTAATACACAATCACAACGCTGAAGGTCATAGGCATTCAGTCAGTAAGGGACCGCCTCCGTGGTCTAGTGGTAGAGCGTCCGCCCGCAGAGCGGAAGGTCCGTGTTTCGATCCCCGGCCGCGTCATACCAAAAGATGTTAAAAGATGGTACTTGTTGTTACCCTGTCTGGCGCTCGGCATTAAGGGGCTAAAACAAGGACTGGTCGGCTCGGAGTCAGTATACTGTGTCTGAGTGGGGTATTCATGTTAAACTGCGGCATGATATCTGAGTGAGCTAGCACTATAAATCGGCATCAGTCCGGACTAGTACAAGCAGCCACACACACACGTGCATGCACGTCGCTATATAAGAGCAATAATCTTGGACGCGACGTTAAACCCAATTTCACCTCACCTCACCTCACCTCAGTCAGTAAGTGTTGGTGTTGACATGTTGGTGTTACATCTTATACTCCTATTGCTGAATCTCATAGATTACGATTCCACAATTGTTTTACACAACATAATTGCTTCAGGTATAAATGTGAAATTGCCATATGTCATATTAATACACATAAACAGGAGGTATAAAGCAGATACACCAACAGATGATGTTAATTCTCAAAGAAAAATTATTATGTGAACTTTCAATACCTGGCCACATATTGTAGTACTCCACGACCGACGATTCAGGTTCATCAGTGGCCTGTAGATCGTCGTTGATGTAGGTACTGTAGCCTCGACAGTAAGAAGAGAAAGAGCTATACTGGAAACTCTTGCAACCTGATCTTCGAGAACACTCCCACAGGCAGGAAACGCGGTCTGTTGTTGTGGTAGTCCACATGGATCCACTGATGATTCCGCCACGGGAAGCAGACCTCAGTGTGTATGAACATGCATCTTTGCTCTGACATGACTTCAGAATTACCATAAAAAAGATGCAATAGTTCAACTTCATCATATATAAGGTGACCGATGATATCTCTCTCACTTACAAGTTATAGTAGCGCTACGGGATGAAATCAGTTCTCATCCAACCTGTACCCCATATATATACTTTCTTAACTCCCTATGTCATGAACGTTTTTAAATGGGTGTCATTTAAAACCAAGTGAGTTGACTGTAAACATTTCTGTTCATGCAATCCTTTCAAAGACGCATGTTTTATCCTATGCAGGATTAGCCATGAGTGTATTCTTTCAAAATATGAAACTAATATTCACTCACAACCACTTAAGAAGACATTTTGGCAAAATTCCTCTAGTTTGCATTTCACTACATCTGTAAATATAAGTGATCTTTATGTGTGCATTGTACATGCGTATATGAAAAGGTGTGGCAATGTTGATGTGTGTGATATGGATTTAAGTAGGTTAATTCCAGCAGAGCCAAATACACCACTGTCGTCGTTGGCATTAAACGTCTAATGTACTTCCGCCCACTTTGGGATGCAAACAAGCATTGTATTTGACCGGATCTGGGGTAAGGAGTACCCAATTTATATTCAGTCAAACGTGTTTGTATATCTGAAATTTAGACTGCTAAATAGTCCCACACATTTATAATCCCAAGAGCGGGGCCATACTGTATAATTCAACGGGTGATCACTTCACGGGTGAGTATTGTCATCTCAAATGACGTGAAGGGAGACACGTATGTTCTAAGAAAGTATATAATAGGTAATTATATGATAAATCCAATCCTACCAATAATTCAGCTATCCCAATGGGACATACAACGAGCACGCCGGCAACGTACAACTTCAGACGCACGCCCAGCTCACAAGGAACAGCAAAATAACAGCCAGAAGCCTAGACGACAGTCCAGGAATACTGATGTGCCTGGTAAAAAGGACTGGGCCTCAGTGAAGTTTGGTAAAATCTCTCAGATCACTATCTTATGGATTTTGGATCATTCGACATTGTCACACATGGTTTCATGATTTTGATGTATCTAAATATGTTCACCATCAACACACAATTCTATACAATTTTCATCATGCGACCAAAAGGGACGTCACACAGGTGGTAACTGTGCAGCATAAGTAAACACGTCATTTTAATTATTTCTTCCATAAGGTATATTTCTAAAGTTTAACAAGATAATGGTTTCCTGATTTGTTATATGCATGCGTGTATATACCCCCGAAATATCCGAGATATTGTGAAAGAATGTGATAAATAGTTTAGAAGGCATAATCAGCTTAGAAAACTTCATGTCGGACCCAGTGATAATTCTTGGTGGGCATTTTAATGCTAATACCGGTATAAACTACATGATGGTGTACCTGATTTGACTGATAATGCACAGCAAGGATTCAATGGCTTCAAGGAAATTGAAATGCAAAATGAATTGAAAAGAAGACGGTAAAGATATTCTTAATATCACATTGATTTCCGCTCGAAAAGATGTAAAACAAGGTTCTTTGACCGACTGTTTAACTGTCTGATTGGCATTTTAGAAGTTGATGAGTAAGTAAGAAAACACGTCGTTAGGCTCAAATCAATCCCCTACATTTGTACAGTATTCTACTTTTCCTGTTCAAAAGCTTTCAGATTTCAGCAAATCAATTATTAATAGCACGGCAAACATCAGAAAACACTTGGTTTTTGGTGCTGCACGTAGCACTCAGCAATATACCAGCTATATGTCGCAAGAACTCGAGTCTGGACCAGACATTTAAGTGGTCGATTGTGGAGAACGATCCTCGCCGTCGGATACGCAAGAAGCCAAGTCACCGAGCCAACTGGTCACCTCTCACGCCAAGCATTAGTTGCTAGGGGCCAATTCCAACCTGGAATCCCAACAGGGATAAAATACTTGGCAGAATAATTTCAAAATATTTTTTCGACTGTAAGTGTTTCAAATACTTGTTATGAAGTACTGTTATTTCCTTAAATACATACGGAAACAAGATTTATGGCTTTAATAATAACTGGCTTTCACCTCGGATATTTGCACTCTGATATGTGCACCAAACGCTACAACATTGAATCTATGTTATACAATTAATTTAGTTATCAGATATGTATCTGGTAACAGCAGGGGTCGACCTTGACTCTACCTGGTCAAAATGCCGTACACAATTAATTAGTTCTCAGAGATGTGTGTGGCAACAGCAGGGGAAGACTTTGACTCCCCCTCTCTGGATGCTGCTACATGATGCACACACAGCAGTTCCCGGACAGTTACTTCATGTCATGCATGCGGACAGGTATGTTTCAATGTCTATTTATACTTTAACTTAAGTAGAGCGTTTCACTTTAACTGTTAAGTTAAAAACTTGATTCTATGACCATATACATACTGTTTTGGGAGTACACAACCTGTCTTTAACCCAGCTTTCTTTCCGATAACTGGTCATTAAACAAAAGTTTAAAAGATTGCTGTAAGGTTTGATTTGTGGTGTTCCTTTTGCTCCATTGAACTACTCTGAATCATCGGTCACATTTCCGTAAACATGTCAGATATTTACATAAGTGTGCTAGACAATTTATTCCTAATTTCACTTTTATGACATTTTTTTCATAAACGCACCATCTTGCATTTATGATTTCGAAACAGTGTGATTACGGTAAGGTTAGGTAAGGTGAAATGCGATTTAACGTTCCGTGTGTATGCTGTTCTAGACATCTGTTATATAATTGATCTCCAGAGTTTTAGGTGAAGAATGATTTTCATCATTGGCGAGTCAGAAAGTGATATACAATACGAAATAACCACTGTCTTCCTGAACATATATGTTTCGTAATTACAACAGTGCGTTTTTATAAACTATCATTGTTGTGCTGGTTTCCATGGAAATGATATGGTTCTGACCAAGCAGAAGGGAGCCTCTCCTTCAGTCCTTAAAATGATAGCCATGCCCGTGCTACAATGTATTTGTCATATTTTGCAGTGTAAACATGGACCTATTAAAGCGGTTTGTCTTGGCAAAAGTCCCGTGAAGATCCGGGGTAGAAAAGGTCTTCAGCAACCCAAGCTTGCTGTAAAAGGCGACTGTGCTTGTCGTAAGAGGCGACTAACGGGATTGGGTGGTCAGGCTTGATGACTTGGTTGATGCATGTCATCGTATCCCAATTGCGTTGATCGATGCTCATGATGTCAATCACCGGATTGTCTGGTCCATACGCGATTATTTACAGACCGCCGTCATACAGCTTGAATATTGGTGAGTGCGACGTTAACCAACAAACCAACCAACCAACCAATCTTGGCAAATACTTTGTAATGGCATGAATATATGGTTAACCCAAGATTGAATTGAGAAAGAAATAGCTGCCTAGTTTGACAGTGCAGTTCGTTACACTGCAGCCGGTAATGCTATCAGCGGTTCACAAACTTGGAACGAATAGTAGACCAAGGTGCATTGTGAAGAGAGGACGGTCTGTCAGATACCATTTATTCTACGAGTTCTTCCAAACGCTTTGAAACGAGTTGTTAGATAAATGGTATCTGACAGGCATGAGTGCAGTAATCTGTTTCTTACACAGCCTAACATTACACCATTTTAGCATCAAATCGATGCCATTTGCCTATTCTCATGATCGCCGTGGCGCATTAATACATATGAGTGACGTAAACGACGTACTGCTCACTACTCATAAATAGTGTGACCCAACACAAAAAGGTTTCCGCCATATCTGTGGAATATCTGTTGAATGATAAGCCAAACTAGATAAGATCAAGATCAAAGAACCCGCTGGATATCGAGTTAACAAATTTCACCTTACAGAAAATATCAAATATGGACAAAATGTTTTACTTCCGTATGACATCACCACCGGTTACTGACTTTTACAAAATTGCCTGTTCACTGATAACAGTGATTTTCAGAGGAGGATTTTCGTTGATTGAGGGATCGCATGTACATAAATGTGTCATGTAAGTAATCAGAAACAATCCGCCAATATGTTATTTGTTTTATGTTTTCAAATGCAAAGAGATGCAAGAACATACCCAAATACGTCAGCCAACGTATGCAACTATCAGTCGAATGGATCTCTCAAAATAGGAGGAAATGCTACACAGTGTAAAATGAAGTTTGCTTTGTTTAAATTGCAATTTAAATTCGTTTCCATGCGTAACCTATTTCGCTAGATTTCATCTAGATAATTTGTATTGGTGACAAAGTCCAATTGTCATTTGATTCTAAAATGTATGAGGAATTCGGGGATGCACGTATCGCAGCTGAAACATACGCGTGATCTAATAGGCGTCTCATATTCGGCATACGTGAAACGTGATGTTGTTAAAACAATCCAATACGGCGGAAAGCACTCTTCGGCTTTCGTGCTTGCGTATTTTTTCAAAACAATCTAAAAGTTACTTGGAGATACAATATCCGTTGCAGCACGATTTGGAACGATTTGTGTGTGACTTGTTCAGGTGGAAAGGTTGTTATGATATGAACACTGTTAGTTATAACTGCTTCATGTGTGGATGTGTCGGTGATTTGACACTTCCACCTAATAGTGATAGTTTGCCCTCCTCATGCGAAGTTTAAGACTATCAGGCCAGAATTCACAGATGTTTTCAACAGCCAAAACTAATGGCTCCAGATCCAGAATGAGTACGTAAGTATGGTTTCACGACGATTTTAGCAATATTCTAGCAATATCACGGCGGGGGGCACTAGAAATGGGCTACATACATTGTACCCATGTGGGGAATCGAACCTGGGTATTCGTCATGACGAGCGAATGCTTTAAACACTCGGCTACCCTTCCGCCCCTGCTCCAGATCCAGAAGCACATTATCAGATGGAACACGTTGCCCATTGCTCCCGATAACGTACTTCAGGATGTACTGCAAACTCTTTGTAACTGAAGAAAGTGTTCTTACAAAAGAGTGGGTTTTGAGTGCATTGCTATGTGTCGATGTTAAGTATGCCCAAACCGTACACAACTTAAAGTTGACGATAAAGTGATGACAATGACACTGATTAACATGATTTGTTTGCCAGATATCTCAACTGAAGGAAAGGACTAAT